CCCCCCCCTCAATCTTTTTTGTTTTCCCCTAATATTATAGGTACTTTTTAATTCATAAATATAATTTTAAATATATATGTAGCCGTTTCCAATGCGACGGCCATTAAATACCACTCAACACGGTCTTTTGGGTTCAATTCGGTTGTTTATTACGGGTATATACCCTGATGTACGAATGTCTACAAATGGCAAATACAAATCATAAATACACATTCACACGTACATGCACACACAAATATATAACATTTATTCAATTTAATATTAACTCACGTGGACAGGACAACATGGGTAAAACACATTACTCACACAAGGGGACACGGATGTACATTATGTATAAAAAGTAAATAGATAGAGTAAATGAAATACAAGATAAAGAATGTAAAAGATATCATTACTGTTTTAGCCTAAATAAATGTCATGCCTGAATGTATCACTTCAAACGTTCGTCTCTTTGCTGATGATTCCATCTTGTTTCGGCACATTAAGAGTAGAGAGGATGTGTGTGCGTAGCAGGAAGACTTGACAGCCTTGGAAAGACGGGAGCACATGTGGCAGATGTCGTTCCACCCGGAAGAGTGTACTGTCCTCCATATCAGCAACAAACGGCACCCTATAATCACCAACTATTCTCTTCATGGCCACATTCTTGAGAGGGAGGAGAAGAGCAAGTACCTCGCAGTGACTGTGAGTGAAGACCTACGGTGGAATGACCATTTCAACAACATCAAATCATCAAGAGGAACTTACGGAATTGTAAGAAGCCTGTCAAGGAAGCTGCCTATCAAACCATTGTGCGACCAACTTGAGGGTATGCTTCAACAGTATGGGACCCAGCAACAACAATCCTGATTAAACCATTGAGAAGACACAGAGACGGCAGCCAGGTTTGTCACACATATACACCAGGCACAGTCACCAACATCATTCAAAAACTCGGATGGGAAAGTCTGAAGCTACGACAATCCAAAGCTCGACTGACCATGATGTACAAGATCCAGAACGACCTGGATATCCCGGCTGATAAATAGACCTCAAGAGGCAACACAAGAACAAGAGGATCTCATAAGCTGCGTGCATCACAGGCAAATAAGGAATGTTACAAAAAATCCTTCTTCCCCAGAACAACACAGCAGTAGAATAGCCTCCCACCTGAGATGGCGACTGCCCCAACCCTGGCGGCCTTTAAGACCAAGCTGGACAGCCTTCCAGCAGGTCACAAGGCCTTCTCTGGATAAGTTTGTACTCCAGAGATTTAATTGTATACTGCCCAAGAGGTTTTTAACTGCCAACCAGCACACGCTCCGAATGTTGAATCATATCCTTGGGATGCCCACTCAAAGATTTGGAAGAAGAAAAAGTATACATGTTAAAGTCTAATTACAAGAAAAACCAAGAACAAAATTAAATGTGACTATAATTAAATATAAGCCACCCATGCCATTACTAAATGGGCTAGAAAAACTTTCATCCTAAAACAGGATTGAAGGCAAAAAAACCCAACACCCTACAATACATTATACAGGTGTTAAAGCCCAAATGAGAATTTAAAAAAAAAACTATAGACAGAAATACTAGTCTTGCTAAAGTAAAAATTTGTGGAGAAAGATAGAGCAGATTTTGCTTTTTTCATTCAATTTCTTGTCCAAGAATATAAGTTGAGCACCTGATCACGATACATCAGATAAATGTATAGTATCGGAATCTTCTGACCATTTCTGTTGAATATCGCCAAAAGATTTTGGGGAAACTTGGTTCTTAACTTTTAATATACATGTACAATACACATTATATATAGTGTTTTCACCCAGGTAGGGTTGGAAAGTGACCTCAGTTACATTGGTACCCAGGTAGGTAGGGTTGGAAAGTGACCTCAGTTACATTGGTACCCAGGTAGGGTTGGAAAGTGACACCAGTTACATTGGTACCCAGGTAGGGTTGGAAAGGGACCTCAGTTACATTGGTACCCAGGTAGGGTTGGAAAGTGACCCCAGTAACATTGGTACCCAGGTAGGGTTGGAAAGGGACCTCAGTTACATTGGTACCCAGGTAGGGTTGGAAAGTGACCTCAGTTACATTGGTCCCCAGGTAGGGTTGGAAAGTGACCCCAGTAACACTGGTACCCAGGTAGGGTTGGAAAGGGACCTCAGTTACATTGCTACCCAGGTAGGGTTGGAAAGTGACCTCAGTTACAATGGTACCCAGGTAGGGTTGGAAAGTGACCACAGTTACATTGGTACCCAGGTAGGGTTGGAAAGTGACCTCAGTTACAATGGTACCCAGGTAGGGTTGGAAAGTGACCACAGTTACATTGGTACCCAGGTAGGGTTGGAAAGTGACCCCAGTTTCATTGGTACCCAGCTAGGGTTGGAAAGTGACCTCAGTTACATTGGTACCCAGGCAGGTAGGGTAGGAAAGTGACCTCAGTTACATTGGTACCCAGGCAGGTAGGGTAGGAAAGTGACCTCAGTTACATTGGTACCCAGGAAGGTAGGGTAGGAAAGTGACCTCAGTTACATTGGTACCCAGGTAGGTAGGGTTGGAAAGTGACCCCAGTTACATTGGTACCCAGGTAGGAGCATGTGAACTGTAAATAACCCTCGTAACATGCTGCCATAAGTTTGGTTGTACTCAGGAACACTCGAGAAGAGCTCTTTCCTGATCTATGGATGGGAGCATCTTGCAGAAGGGTAGGATACTCTCTAGTCACTTATTACTGACTCATGGTGAATTTTTCTTTGGTTCAATCACAATATTTTGACAACTGGACTAGCTAGTAATTATACTTGTATGTAGTCCATGCAGGTACAACCCTTATCAGAGGCTCTAGGAAATCGTTACTACATATATATACACACCCTGCTTATCATATTGAGTCCCCAAAAAAATGTAGGGGACTCCGGATCCAGAAATCTTTAAGATGGGTCTTGTTTATATTATACATGTAGATATCCTTTTATAATATCATTGTTGTTAAAGCCCCTAAAGCTTACCTGGTAAGAGTTGTTGCTAACACTTTGTTTTTTAATTCACTATGAATAAATACTTATCAAGCATGTACCTATATACAGAGACAAAAAAGAATACACACACAAACACACACATACACTAACAGTTACACACCCACACAAATTAATGTATAAATAAATGATTAATAAATAAATGGTATTCGTGACATTAGGTATACAGACAAAAATCAAATGCACACAAAAGACAAAGGACACGACATGTGGGATAAAGCAAGGACAGGGGAAACCTAGGACAGAAGGACAGGGGAAACCTAGGACAGAAGGACAGGGGAAACCTAGGACAGAAGGACAAGGGAAACCTAGGACAGAAAGATGTTAAATTTAGTATCTTTTAATTTTTAAATTTGCAACCAGTGATGAATTTGTGTGTTAATCTGTATTTTATTTTTAATGTTACTTTTAGGTATTAGAATTTTGTGAGCTTTTAATTCGAATTTGATATGATTTTTTAGACCATTCAGATTGAGTTCTATTTCTAGGCATTTTGATTTATATATGTATTGTTTTATCGTGCGTAATATCAAGTTATCCAACTTGAACTTTGCATATTTATTAATTTGGTTGCCAAAGATAAATTCTTGTTTATTAAATTGAAGACCAAGATTTTTAGCAATAATAGTAATTCTTATATTTTCGATCAAATTAGATACTCTTTCACAATCCCATAATAAATGTGTTATTGTTTCTGGATGAGTTTTACAAAAAGTGCACATATTATTATCTAATTTACCAATTTGAAATAAAAAAAATGTTTGGTTAGAATTCTATGATTTATTCTGAATTGTAACCATTGTAGTTTGGAACTGGTACAGGTATTGAAAGGATATTTGTTTATATTTTTCCATGTATCTTCATCAATATTGAAATTTTGATTCCATTTATTTTGGGCGGTGGGTTTAACTTCATTTTTTATTAATATGGTATATATTTCATGGGCTCCTTTTTTTTACGTCTTAGTATTAACTTGTGTTTTATGGGTATACTAGGTAGTATGATATTTTTTTCTGAATCGAAAGCTTGGCGGTTCTTCAGAACACACATAACATTTTTCAGACTCTGATAACTTAGCACGAATGTAAAAAAATCACAATTGTTTTCAAAGCTGTATAAAATCTATCTTTATTAATAATGTAGTGGATAAAATATACCCCTTTTTAGCTCACCTGCTCTGAAGGACCATGGTGAGCTTATATAAATTATGCCATACCGCAGTGTCCGTCGTCCGTCCATCAACTTTTCCTAAAAATTGCTACTTGTCATGAACGACTGAACAGATTTTGACCAAATTTTGTCAGAAGCATCCTTGGGGAAGGAGATTTTTTTTTTGTATAAATGGTGCGTCTGCCCCCCCCCCCTGGGGGCTGAGGGGTGGGCCCAATAGGGGAATATATAGCAAATTATTTAAAATCCTTATTACTCTGTAGGGATGAAAGGATTTGTTCCATATTTAGTCTGAAGCATCCTTGGGTGAAGGGGAACCACTTTTTTATAAACAGTGGGTCTTGCCCCCCTGGGGGCTGAGGGGCAGGCCTAATAGGGGAAAAATAACAAAAAAAAAAATCCTTCTTCTGTAGAAATGAAAGGATTTGTTCCATATTTAGTCTGAAGCATCCTTGGGTGAAGGGGAACCAATTTTGTATAAACCGTGGGTCTGACCCCCAAGGGGCCTGATGGGCGGGGCCCAATAGGGAACACATAGCAAGTTCTTTAAAATCCTTTTTCTTCTGTAGGAATGAAAGGATTTGTTCCATATTTAGTCTGAAGCATCCTTGGGTAAAGGGGAACCAATTTCGTATAAACCGGGGGTCTGGCCCCTGAGGGGCCTGAAGGGTGGGGCCCAATAGGGGAAATATAGCAAATCCTTTAAAATCCTTCTTCTTCTGTAGAAATGAAAGGATTTGTTCCATATTGGGCCTGGCCCCCCAGGGGCCTGAGTGGCGGGGGCAATTGGACTATATTGATTTAAGCGTCTTCTTTTCTTGAACTAAGAGATGGATATCACTCATATTTGACTGGAAGCATCCCTAGGTAGCAGAGATTCAAAATTGTACAAATGGTTGGGCTGACCCCCCAGGGGGCTGAGGGGCAGGGCCAAAAGGGGGCAATTTGGCTATATTGCTTTTAACGACTTCTTCTGTAGAATTATGCACTGGATATCAACCATATTTGACTGGAAGNGGGTGGGGCCAAAAAAACTGTTTTACTTGGAAATGGTTGAGATCCCCACAGTATAACCATGCATATATACAATTTTAGAGTATAAAGAGAAGCATGCACATATGATAAGATCCCCACCCCAAAACTGTCTATACAATTGTTGGGCATAAAGAGACGAATGCAGTCATGATATTAGAATTGACCCCAGGGTCTACCCCACTCTTGCAGACTTAACCCCTGGGTCATAACTTTGAAACGGTTGAGATCCCCACCCCAAGACTATAAATACAAATGCTGGACAAAAAGAGAAGAATGCAGTCATGATATTAGAATTGATCCTGGGGTCTGGCTACAACCCTAGGGATCTAGTTTCTGAGTCACAGCTTGGAAACAGTTGAGATCCCCACCCGATAACCATACATTAAATTGCTGGGCATTAAAAATCTGATACAGACATACTACAAGAATTGGCATTGGGGTCTGGCATATTCCCTTTGATCTCATTTGGAGAATATTTTGCCATGATTGCTTAGATATCCAGCTGAGCGATTCAGGCCCTCTGGGCCTCTTGTTTATAATTATATTCCTTTTTTAACTGAACAATGAATTTGACTTAGTTTGAGTCTGACTACGGATGTGTACATTGTATGTTATATGTATAAATCAATGAGTTATCATACATCATCACTTTACTGGTATATTGTGCTTGCAGATTTGGTGGTAATCGTGGGGGACCTGGTAGACGGAGGACTAGATGACCTCAGAAAGGCAGCAGATCCAATCAAGAACATAAGGTCCAAGTATGGTACCTTCTTTGTGACAGGTATACCAAACAATTTACCTCATTCCCTGAAAATTAACAAACAAAAGTGAAAGACGAGACACAGATCCACAATTAAAGTTTGTCACAAATTATGAAGAAAACTAGTTGAAAGTGAATATCAGCTTGCGTCTCTGTAGACACAATCTTGTCTGGACAACTAGAAGTCGACTAGTTTCCATCAAATTATCTTCAAAACTAAAAGGTAATTTGAAGCAGCAATTGTGAGGCCAATTGTGTTACTGCCAGCCCTACCTACCCTACATTTTTGTGCCTACCCTAAAGTTTTTATTTTTTCTGTAGATGATAGCGGAAACATAAGTCCTTTTTTTGGCTTGAAGGAGCTTTATAATGGAAGGAAGATGTTAATGCCGGTACAGGCGACTATGAATGCTGTCATACATCAGTAACTATATGTTTACACTTTGATTTCTGATTTGGCTTTTGTATATGGTTTTAGTTACTGTACAGAAATGTGTATCTGTTTCAGGAAATCACGAGTACTATGCAAGTGCTGTAGATGACTGGTTTGTGTACCTGGAATCTATAGGTGTGACTGTGCTCCACAATAGCAATGTAAACCTACCAAAACATGCCCCACCCTCTCAACAAATCTGCCTTGTGGGAACAGATGATCTAGAGGCTTCACGGATACAGTAAGTTTAATTTGACAACCCATTTATATTTCAAGGAAGACATAACCTATTGTTTGGCATGTTTCATTTCATGCAAAATAGGAAAAACAATTACATATTCTTTGATTACAATAACTTTTCTTACATGTCCGCTTTCTAGACGAAAAATTTACTTGAAAATGAGTTTACCAGGTACATTTAATGTATATTTCAAGTTTTTATGATTATTTTAGCTCAAATTTATTTAAAAGGAATTGGGACTGGATATAACCATTTTGAACAAATCTATATGTGTTATGAAGGTAATTGCACTTTTAATGTATTGTGTGATCAACTATATGCTTTATGAAGATAACACACTTGATCATTTGTTTAAAGTTACAAGGACCACGGCTTCAACCTGGACAAGGCCATAAAAGGGTGTAGTGCCGACCAACCCAGACTGCTACTGGCCCACCAGCCCAAGGCAGCTGAAATGGCCTTTGCTTCTGAGCACAGGATTGACCTTATTCTATCAGGTTTGTGTAATCGCACCAAACAAGCTAAACCCTTTTTCCCCCAATAATTTGGTTCCACATGGATTTATTTCATTATGCATAAAATTCTTTTGTTCTAAGTGTCTGCGTTGGTGGTAATATTTTTTGTTGTAAAAATTAAACAAATATGTCGGAGAACAATTGTAACGCCGGACAAGCGTCGGTTTAAGGTATTTTGATATAAAGAGCAACACAAAGAAAGATCATGAAAATACATACAATTTATTAAATACAAATTCACTATTACTCACTATCACACTCACTCTCAACCCATGCATCCTCTAATCAGAATATTACAGTTCATCAGGACCACAGTCTGCTCAAGTGTCCCAAAAACAATGTTCCATAGGTCAACGTCTGGTCGACAGCACACCATCTGTTCTACACGAACAGATCACCACAACAATACTGTACCGCAGCACAGATCACCCAAAACAATACTGTACCGCAGCACAGATCACCACAACAATACTGTACCGCAGCACAGATCACCACAACAATACTGTACCGCAGCACAGATCACCACAACAATACTGTACCGCAGCACAGATCACCTGAAACAATACTGTACCGCAGCACAGATCACCTGAAACAATACTGTACCGCAGCACAGATCACCTGAAACAATACTGTACCGCAGCACATACAGTTCACGTCCAGAGAAGCTACGTCTGATATGAAGTCTGTAAACAGACAAAGTGTTTCTGTATATTACCCACAGGTAACTATACTTTACTAGCGGTGTTGTCCGGATACACCATGTCACTTAACTAGTCCGCTAGTCACCACTCGGAGTTGGTCGCTCCTGTCGGTCGACACAATGATTCTCCTTTCTGGCACCATGACCCTTCCGTATCGTCAACAAACACCCTCCTGTGACTGACCTAATCTCAAGATTGGTCCTGATGCCCAAGTCGTCGTTACAGACAGGGTCCTGGTCGGCGCAGGAATATCAATCCGTCATGGAATGCTTTAAAAAATAAAATAGATAAAATAGATACAATATATTTTCCCATCTTCTCTTCATACAACGTTCTACAATAACATCCTACCTGAAAATTAGCCTAATGCAATAAATAGCCCTGACACATATTATATATATATATATTCTACAAAATATTCATCTATATTAACAGTTCTACAACGTGTCGGTCCATTTATATCATCAAACACGATCAAATATTCAATTCAAATATGGCGACTCAAGGCTGCCATACTTTTTTACATGGACAATACTGACTGGTCAGAATGACATTTATATGGACAATTACACTCATTGTACGTATCGTATCAGACTATTATAAACAATATGCATGATACATTACATTCTGATATAACTATATCAATATAAACATCGAAATACAAACATATTAGCATGATGTAAACAATCAATATACACCTGTACTACACTTGCCCTATCGCTACGCATGAGTGGACTGCACGTCAAGGTACATATACACTAGAAATGCATTTACGGGGATCAGAGACACTCCAAGATACAAATTAGTGAAGTAAGAGTATTATATTAGTTACTCCCCACAGTCTTTATTCTGTGCCTGAATCCATGGAATATGTCTGACACAGGTAATGTTTAGCACATCGCCATTACCACATGTATACGTCTCGCGTATGTTACCTGTGTGACGAATCCTCACCCCCGGCATGTGCACTTCCGTTCTCTAGTGTACTTACCTGAGCTAAGCACCCACCTGTTACACATACAATAGTAAACATAAACAATAACACCACAATACATGATATAATATATAATATTTACATGCGATCGTGACAACAATAAATATTTTAAAAAGTGGATTAAATTTCGGTAAAAGGTTGTAAATTTACTGTTTTCAAGGGGAAAAAACTTTCAACACGGTACCGTATGTTGTGTGAAAAAGCATATGATATTTCTAAAAATGTAACAAAAGACCATTACGTAGTTGTGTTTCACTTTACCTGGAGAATAATTCAAACACTTTGTCACCTACATAGTCACATTGTGTACACCGGTACCTCATGGGATGACTGATTTTCCCATTTCGTAAAACTGATGCCTTACCCCATCATATATATATCTAGGTCTGGCCCTTACTGCGTGTCACTTTGCCCTCGGCATATATCTTCTATAATCTATAACCCACAATTCTTGAATTGCCCGATTTTGTATGTGAGTACCTGAAGGGATGATAGACACCCAAAGTTTGTGAAGATGAAGGGGACTGCATATTGCTAACAATACTTAGCCTTGTTCAAGTTGGGTTTAAATAGTTTTTAAAAAAAGACATGCCCAGGGGATTAAAAATGCATACATGTATCACTAAATGGATGATTTTCCTTGAGGCAAATAGACAAAAATGAGTAAATAAACATTGAAATTAAATGTAAGATAATCATGACATTAAAACAGATGAAATCTCATGCATCACTTGTTGTGACATGTATTATATGGAGAATGATTTTTACATTGAGCTGAATGTCACCATTTATTTTAGGTCACACCCATGGAGGTCAGATGTTCCCGCTGGTGATCGGAGCATACCTCACAAACCCGTACTACGTAGGACTTTATCCCCACGGACAACACAGCCACATCTATGTATCCCAAGGCACCAACTTCTGGGGTATCCCAATGCGCACATTCACATCAAAAGAGATTGCTGTGATAACTCTTAAAAAGAAAGTTTGAACAAAGCAATTACAACAGTACCATATAATCACTGTGATTATCAAATAACCCTCCCTGCTTTTTTCTGTCAAAAACACATGTAAGCACCCCCTTTCGTTCTGGTCACCCTCTTCAGCGACCTTTTGCAAAGATTAAAATCTGGTTATTTAAATGGATATTTAATGCATAAGAATATTCCATTTCTAGTTTTAAAAGAATATAAGTGCATTCTAAAGTATGATTTTGTTAGACCACAGGATACACAAACAGAGAATATGTTACAATGTTAAACCTGTAGATTTAGTTTATTTTTCTGACATTCCAAAATGTTGTCAAGAAGTCAAGATAATACTGTACAGACATATTCCTGTCTTATTCTTAATACTTGTAGCATTTTCTTTAAATACTCTTTTGAATTCCATAGTTGAATTAACACAGTAGATTTTATGTAAACCGGATACCCATTACCTCATCATTTTGTTTAAAAAGAGTGCGTTTACTTATTTACATTATCAGTGTCTGAACCAAAATTTGGATAAGACTAGAGTTCAGTTTAGGAAGAGCGTACTGTATTTATATATAGAGGTGATTATTAGCATTACTAGACACAGGATGAGAAAAAAAATCCCAGACGAACAGCTATAATCACGAGAGTTTGAATCAAGAGTGACTGCAGTTGATATTTAACTAAACCCTCAGGTAAGATTTTTTGTTTCTCCTCATAAAGTGGCCGGGGAGTTATTATTTTTCCCACCGTGGAAGAAGAATTTTTTGGCAGGAAAGAATGCTTTCTATGCCAACAAGCCGGTTGTAATATGATGTCACATGAATGTAACAAGTGATGTCATACAGTTGTAAGCACTGCGACATCAGAAGCACAGAGGGATGATAGAGAAACCACTTGGGGCAAAAACAGGACAAATCTGTGAAGGGTGGTAGACAGATATACCACGAAGTTACGGAAATCAACGACATATCAGCAGAAGCCTAGCCATGCATTGAACAACTTTATATTTATTTTCCTTTATGTTTTATTTTCGTTGTTTTTTCTCTTGTTAGTTTTATAGATAATTTTATGTGTGTTTTTGCTCTTGATATGTAATATAAATCGATTGTAATCGGTAAACATGGTATTGCTCCAGAATGAGTGTCTTTTAGACTCAAAATTTGCCATTTAGTAACACATCATAGCTCATATCGTACATTGTTAGTATTTAATTACAAAAGTTTTTCCAAGGATTCTTTTTCACAGTTTCATTTCAAGATCAATATTGAGGTTGCCAAATAAATTAGATGCTTGGAAATAGCATTATGTTGATTAAATAGAATTAAACAAAATCATATTTACGTTTTTTTACTTACTGGATAACCTTCATATATCTAGATTCTATCAAGTCAGTGAAGGTTGTTTTTAGCTGATATAGCGGTCAAGCGAACAAGCACCTGCTCAGAATATCTAAACTACACTAGTTAATGTTAAAACATGGATACAATTGTAACTTGTTAATGTTAACAACTGTTATGAGGTTGTTAACTATATCTATAAAAGTTGGTTTTTTTTGTTTAAACAAATGTTGTTCATAACAGATCTCATAATTTGAATGTTGAAAGTTTATGAAATCAAAGATTGGTACAGTATATATAGGGAGTGCCATGTGACAATGATTGAAATGTTTGTGAAGTGTACCAGTAGCTGTGTATATAAAAGTTAGATTGTGACATGTTTAAAATAGAAACTTTATTTGTTTTAAAACAATTATGAAACAAATTATTTCGACTTTTATTCATCACTCATGGTTACCCGAATGTTAGTGTGCCGGGGGTATTAATGTGGGACGAAACCGGAGTACCCGGAGAAAACCCAGGTAGTCAGACAGGTGACCCCAAACCTTTTAACCTCAGGGGAATCAAACCTCAGCCTCCTTGAGTTATTCACCGCCCCACCCTACCAACCCATATAATATTGTTTGATGCATTTATATCCTGGGCACTGTACCACAGGACAGAACACCTCTGAATGTTAGATCAATGCTCTACCGCCTGTCAGAGCTATACGCGTTAGGTTTACTATCAATAGTCCCAGTCCAGTTTGTAGGATATGTTTTGATTGTGGTTTGACATGTCTGTTACATATTTTTATGTGAGCTTTCTGTGATAAAATGTACATGTACACCATGCCAGTCACTGTAGAATTTTTAGCTCACCTGTAGCGTCCGTCGTCCGTCCGTCAACTTTTCCTTTAAAACGCTACTAGTCCTGAACGGCCGAGTAGATTTTGACTAAATTTGGTCTAGAATATCCTTAGGCCAAGGGGACTCAATTTTGTATAAATGGTGGGTGTGCCCCCCTGGGGTAAGGGGTGGGGCCCAATAGGGGAAATAGAGGTAAAACCTTTAAAATCCTTCTTCTACCGTAGGGATTAAAGGATTTTATCCTAATTTAGTCTGGAGCATCCTTGGGCCAAGGGGGCTCAATTTTGTATATATATGGTGGGTGTGGCCCCCCTGGGGGCTGGGGGGCGGGGCCAATAGGGGAAATAGAGGTTAAACCTTGAAAATGCTTCTTCTACTGTAGGAATGCAAGGATTTGTTCCATATTTGGTCTGAAGCATCCTTGGGTGAAGGGGAACCAATTTTGTATAAACCATGGGTCTGGCCCGCCAGGGCCTTAGAGGAGGGACCCAATAGGGGAAACATAGCAAATTATTCTTTAAAATCCTTCTTCTTCTGTCGGAATGAAAGGATTGGTTCCATATTTAGTGTAGAGCATCCTTGGGTAAAGGGGAACCAATTTTATATAAACGGTGGGTCTGGCCCCCCTGGGGGCTGAGGGGCGGGGCCCAATAGGGAAAATATAGCAAATTCTTTAATATCCTTCTCCTTCTGTAGGAATGATTTTTTTTTTTACCATATTTGGTCTGAAGCATCCTTGGGTAAAGGGGAACCAATTTTGTATAAACGGTGGGTGTGGCCTCCTTATGACCTGAGGGGCGGGGCCCAATAGGGGAAATAGAAGTAAAACCATTATAATCCTTCTTCTACCATATGCATTGAGGGATTTTATCCTAATTTAGTCTGGAGCATCCTTGGACAAAAGGAACTCAATTTCGTATAAACAGCAAGTGTGGCCCACCTGGGGACAGAAGGGAGGGGCCTAATAGGGGAAACATAGCAAATTCTTCAAATACCTTCTTCTGTACGAATGACAGGATTTTGTCCAAATTTGGTATGAAGCATCATTGGGTGAAGGGGAACCAATTTTGTATAAACGGTGTGTCTAACCCCCCTGGAGGCAGAGAGGCGGGGCCCAATAGGGGAAATAGAGATAAAACCTTTAAAATCCTTCTTTTACCATAGGGATTTAGGGATTTTATCCTAATTTAGTCTGGAGAATCCTTGGGCCAAGGGGACTCGGATCAATTTTGTATATCCTTCTTCGACCATCGAGATTAAGGGATTTTTTCCATATTTAGTCTGGAGCATCCTTGGACCAAGGGTTCTCAATTTTGTATAATTGGTGGGTATGACCCCCCTAGGGTCATAGGGCTGGGGCTCTGTTTGAAGTTTGTTCTCGCTTTATCTCGAGTACTGAATGGATCTTTCTGAAATTTCATATGTACTTACAGCACCTACCATGGAGTGCTATATCTTTACTTCATACCAATTATTTTAAACATATTCAGGTGAGCGATACAGGCCCTCTGGGCCTCTTGTTTGTTATATTTGTGCTGTTTCTTCCCTTTTTAAGAACAAGTCAACTATACTGTAATACTGTTGATTGATTGGTGACAATTTATATAATGATGAAGTTGAAAACATTTTTAAAACCTAAAAGATGTTGCTTTTCTATGTGTTTCAGATAAGATTATGATTAATGATATTGGTTAGCAATAGTTGTGTACTAAAATGGTTGAGGTTATATATTCTTTTTAACCATATTTTTTTCAACTTTTTTTTGGGAAAATATACTTAGGGCTTTTACATGAATACAATATTCATTTGTAACGGACAGCTCTCTAAGAATTCACTATTTCCAGTTACCCCCACCACCCATTATTTATCAGAGTGCCTCCTGTGTGTTAATTTCTGGAATAGCCCTTAACGAAATTTTATTTTTTTATTCGATTAAATTTCGATAAATTTCATTAAGGTCATACATACAACAAATAAATCTGCTGGCTTTTTATGTAAACATGCTGATTATTTACCCTAGGTGACCTGAACAATAAACTCAATGTTGTTGTTCAAGGCTAAAAAACCAAAAAATCTCAGGGCTGTTTTCAAGAACTATTTGAAGTTAACAAATGTTTTGTTCAGTCTTGTGACGATCATTATTTTGAATCACATTTATTGTAATTTTCATTAATTAGATTTTTTTTTTGTGTAAAGTGTATAACATCGTCATATTAATTGACTTTTGTCATGTAAATATAAGGTAATGTGATAACTATTCAGTGCTTTACTTTAAAATATGGAATATATCCTACCAAATACGGACTATATCATACATTGTCCTCCGGACATTTTGGGGTATTTTAAAAGAGAGCTCAAACAATATACACACTTCGTCATGGTATTTGATTGGGCAAGATGTTCTACCAAATTCATAATCCATGTCCCATCTATAATATTTCAAATTAAATGCTTCAATATCAAACATGATGACATGATGTAATGGTAAATGTCATGTTCAACAAAGTAACAGTATCTTACTTGACACAATGTAATTAGTGAACTGTTCTTTATGTTTGGTTGCCACTCATCTGCTCTGCTTTAAAATAACTACAATGAGTAATGATGATTTTTCTAGTTTCAAAGTATAGTAGTTCTTAGATTTCCATATAAATATATATATCATGTGTGAAAGAAATTATATCCAAAGCACCCAAATAATAAAACTGTATTTTGCACTTTGTGTAGTAAACAAACATTATGTTGACTGATTGACATTCCTCTATGTTTTTGTTCAATTATAATATAAATTCAATTATTGTGTACAAGATTTACAATATATGTTTGTTGATGTTTTATTTATTAATGAATGTCTGGTGTAATTTGATTATTATTATTGTATGTTTTTATGCACCGGCAGTAGTATATTATGTGATGTTGATGTTTTATTTATTAATGAATGTCTGGTGTAATTTGATTATTATTATTGTATGTTTTTATGCACTGGCAGTAGTAGATTATGTGATGGGGCTGTATGTCTATTAGTTTACCTAAACTTGTGACTAGTCTAGTCCCAAAACTTTAGACTGAAACTTTTGAGATTTAGTGTGTGTGATAAAAATTGTATTAAGATTGACATATTATATGATAGAAACTACCCGGTAGAATGTTGTTGTCCTCATGCTTACTCGAAATAAATCACACAATTTAAACATAAATGTACAAATCCCCTGTCAGCATAACATACATTATGATAAACCCATAAAAAGGAGATGTACAGAGGTCATGAAACCTTTGTATGTAGTGTTCCTATTTAAGGTGGCTCCACACATCGTCATCAGTGTCCACTTTCGTGACGTACTTCTGGAAAAGGTACAGCTAGGACTCAATTAACTCGATCGAAATGTGCATGTACACCGTGTCGTCATTGCCGTATTGCGTATCGGGTATTTCAGTATATCGTAGTGCAAATTAATGTACCATCTGGTAAACAATAGAACACGTGCGTGATGATGATATGTCAACACCCAATATCGAGTTTTTACCTGGAAATGTGTTATCACACGTACTTCAGAAATAAAGCTTCCAATTCATAGACATAAACAGACTCACGGTAAGACACTGACATGAGACCAGATGACCCCAAGATTATAATTATAATTGGTTATAAGTGTCACCATAGAGCCACAAATGGATTGTTTTAACTGAAAAGGAATTTAACATGATCATGAAACGATGTCATTAGACTGATGTTGATAACATTTTAAATGAAATAATTTGAATGATCATTATGTTGGTGGACATATAGTATTTGTGAAGTTGGTCAAGGACTATTTTAACAGACTTTATTTTTTTGTTTGGGACTAACTGTTCATTATGTCTAACCAATATACCGAAGCTGAAATTATACAAAGCTTTAAAAGATAGAAGTTAAGATGTTTACCAAATCTTTTAATTTTATTTTCAAAGATATTGAATAGAAGTAGTCCCCAACGGAAAATGTAAAGTCCGTTGAAAGATACCTGTACCAAATTTGTCTTCGCTCCGTGTCTTGGCATTAACCTACATGATGATAATAATAGTCAGGTTCTAGCAAACTCTACGACAAAGGTGACAATTAAAAAAGCCCAATTGTTAAGTTTCCTTTTGTTAGTAAAAGATAACAGTCTCAACTTTTTGCATATATAAATCTTTGATTTACTATTCCGTAATTTGACTCGATCATCAAGGGGTTATGCTCATATACGCTCTCTGCACCCCTGGAATATATATATGTCATAGCAAAATTGAAGGCTCAGCACGCGCCACCTTGTTGATGAAACAATTAGACTAGTTTGATCCTTTGATGTACATCGAAAGAATTTGTCGGTCGCATAGCGATTGGTCATGGGTTTTTTTAACCGAGACCAATTAAATAGCTAGCCTCGATCGTTGCCTTCAATTTTACTATGACATATATTCCAGGGGTGCAGAGAGCGAAAGTGAGCGTAACCCCTGGGGTATCGAGGATGCAATTTGACATGTTGCAAGTATTAAGATTTCCTGGGTAGATGCATAATGTTGGCCAATAAACAACTTAAGTAATCTGTTCCTACCTTATTCGCCTCTTAAATTTCTATGTTCAAGAGATTTGTAAAGTCGTCGTCAAGGGGTGACGTTCACGTATGAAATTCCAGCGTCTACAATTAAACGTTTTGCTTATAAGCATAAATGTATCAAATTGTGGATGTCCTGCATACACTCCTGTATCTGACTGAGACACCATGAGGTGTTCCGTATGTGGTACATTGATAATGAGGTTTTTTTTCTTTTTTTTCTTTCTTTTTTTTATTTGGTCTTGTATCACTTCTAATTAACCAGTTTTGACATACTAATATTTATTTATATAAATCGTGAAACCTAACCGTAATGAATGTTATTGAGTGTTCTAACCCGTGTGCTCGATACTTGAGTGTTTTCACATCATACCGTACCTATCACAGACCTTATTTCGATTAGCTTTATGATATTTTAAATATCA